AAAAGGCCAAAAAAAAAAAAGGCGGAAAAAAAATTCAAATCAAAAGCCACAAGGAGATACAGAGGTGCAGAGAAAGAAGAAAGAGATGGAGAGGGAGAAACCAAACCAAACCAAACTATAACCAGTTTAATTATTTTTATGAAATTGTATGTTTGTGGCTCTTTTTCACCCTTTCTTGTTTTTCGGGGAGAGAGACAGACCTGAAGACTGGAAATTTGAATAAAATTGTATAATGGGCAACCGGGAGACCCAACACCCATGTGTGTATATGTTAATTTAATGCCGTAAGATAAAGAAAACCCCTCCGGCGGCTATTTTGATTTTGTTTTATTTTTATTTTTATTTTTTTTTTTTTCATTTTTATTTTGCCTTTATCGTTGCCTGATCGGGTTCCGCAGTGACGTGCGAGCGGGCACCTGGAAGAAAAGGCAAATTAACGTTCTCGCAGAACAATTCTCTGCACGTGACAGTCGCCGCAACAGGTTCTTGGTGAATCGCCAACGAAATGGGGTCAAACTGCAATCGCATTTCACAGGCTCCTCCGATGGCCAATGGCCAATGGCCGATGGTTAGGCAATCGATGGCCAAGTCAAGTCAAGACAAGTCAAGTCAAGTCGGGCTTAGCCGCATTCAAGCGGTTTTTGTGGCTTAAGAGGTGGTGCTCCAAACTTCAACTCGAGCATCGCAAAGCACCGCACCGCACCGCACCGCACCGCACCACTTTCCACTTGAGAAGGCGCCCTTAGCCATTTCACCGGTGCCGGGCTTTCATTGGAACACACAAATCGGAGAAGTGGCAGGGAAGAGGAGGCAAAACCCACCTGAAATGTGCAACAAACGGCGCTACAGGTGCACGGGGAAAAATATTTATATATATATATATGATTCATCCCTTTATAAAAAACAATTTACAAGAAAAAGTGATTATACATATTTGGAGTTTAAAATATCTGAATAAATATCACATTCACTTATTTGGAATTTATTAAAAGCTTATATCTACTAATATGCATTTCGTAATCATTACCTGACAGTTAAAGTAAATTGTATATTTTATTTTGGAACACAAAACATATATAGTTATCATTTACAAAATAATACATACTCCAAGCCAAAACATTATTTAATAAGCATTAAATCGTAAATCTTTGGGTTTACTTTGGAAAACTATTATGTTTTTAACGTAAACTCTGATTGAAGTTAATATAAACTATAATCCCATTTTGTTGTACATCTCCTTTCATAAAAATCATCATACTTCTTTGAAGTTTATAAACTCAAATACTTAATGTCAATATTTATCTTATAGTTTACACAATTTGCCAGCAAGGTCACTGAGGCCTTTAATTTGCTCATTGATTTTGAAGATGTTTAATACCCTGCTAAGCCTGCAATCGACTTCAGTTTTAAATAGATAAGATTTGCGATCCAATTGACATAAATAGAATTGAAAATAAACAAAAGTTATCAGAGCACTATGAAATTGCGGATTTGTTTATTATGAAATATGATTTGGGATTAAATAAAAATAGTCAAAAATAGAGATAAGATATGGGGATAGGGAATCGCAAAATATGTATTCATACATATATGGTGTGTGTGGAATTTCCCTGTGTGTATTAACCCACCTGATCCGCAGCAGCTAACAAAAGAGGTAGCAAATGCCTGCGAGCATTTTTGCTGTCTTTTTCTTCTGGCTTTCTTCTTTCTTTCATCATCGGCAGCAACATACTCGCACATATTTGTATACAGACCGATACCGATGTGTATATTTGTACGACTGCCTGGGTAAATCTGTATCTGTATGTTGTATCTGTATCTGTAGCTGTATGTTGTATCTGTGTGTGTGTTGCCCGTTTTGGTAGCATTTTTCAAGAATTGCTAATTCTCAACAATTCCCGAGGTTCGTTGAACTCATCATACACGCATACTCACATTTTATTTACGCTTCTCGGTGCTTATAAGTAGTATACGACTGCTATATACCACATACTGCTTGCTGATTCTTGGCCCGATGTGTGGCGACGGCTAAAATGCGGAGAAAGCACTTGTGTATTTGTGTTTTAATGCACTGGCCAAACGAAACGAAAAACAAAAAAAAAATATATACAAAAAATGCGAGGGCCGGTCCACGAGTATTAGCATAATGAGTGGATCGTTAATTCTCGGTTATTCCATACTTTCCTTGGCTTTGAGAATTTATGAATTACAGCAAACATCGACTGGCAGTCGGTTTTTGGTCGAGAGAAATTGCTGCCCAATATCACTACTTTCTTTTGCAATTTTACATTTACCAATCACGGTTAGTGTCATTAAGACTTTACTATTAAATTTAAAAAGCAACTCTATCCAAAGTTGTGAAACAAACTAGTCAGAGAAGTCATATGAAAGCTATTACAAGTTCTAATTAATGTGAACAAATAAATATGTTTGATAAATGGTTTTCCGTAAGTCAATTGTTAAGGTAAAACACACAGTCTTCGTTTGTAAATATTTCAAATATTCAGTAAAATTTAATAGCTTACTATTTTTAGACTAATATTAACATATGCATATGTTCAATCAACGGCTTAGAGTATGTCATTAAGGAATACAATCAGTCTTCGTTTGTAAATATTTTTACTAATCAGTAAAATATAATTACTTTGTAATAACTTACTGTCATAAAATATTAAGCTTTACGTAAGCTATAATATAAAATTATTTTACAACCTTTATCCTTGATCTACGACAATGCTGTTTTAAAATAGTATGTAGATAAATGAGCTAGTTGATATATGCATTTATAAATATGTACTTATTACAAAAAACAAAATTTAAAAGTAAGATTTCCGGAAACAACAAATTGGCTTTAAAACAATAACCAACTTTTAAATTGACATAAATTAAAAACTTGTCTTGTGTGTGTATTCCATTCCCATATTTTTACGATCTATTTTGGCACGTCAACAATTTGTAACTTTAATATGATTAGGAGAGAGTTTATGATTTATGTTAATTAATCATGTAAATAAGGTAGGCCGATTTCACGGAAAATAAATTTCCGAACTTTTATCTAAATTTGCCAGTTATTAGCATTTCAAAAAATATATATTTCCTAAATATATTTCTTTATGTCTTGACATCTGTTCAGTGATTAAACCACCCTCGTTTGTAAACGCTAAGTACCACCGCATAAACATATCAAATGGTAATCAATGTTTAGGCTTACGGGTATGTGCCTTGTACGGCGGATTGTGTGAAAGAACCCAAAGAACCTGAGGAATTTGAAGAACCAAAAAGACCCACAAAAGAATCGGGAAGAATCGTACCTGCTTACATATCGACGTTCGCCGTCACGACGTTCCCTTTTTTTTTTTTTATGGCCAAAACTGGATTCCATTTGGCTTGGCTTAGAATGTGAACTTTGGAGAGGTGGGATTTCTTTTACATACAAATGTGTTTTTAAAGCGTAATTACATGCACTTTTTTTTATCGCAGACAGACAGACAGACAGTCAGACAGACAGACAAGACAGACGAAAAGACAGACAGGCACTCACTCGAATATATAGTTATATCCATGTGCATATTTGCCGCCTTTAAATGGGTCAGCAATTTATTGCCGTAGATTATGCCTGGCGACAATTAAGCGAATCCAGTCCAAAAATCTGGCACATTCGGGATTACATCATCGGGCAGGCTTTTGCGTTAAAACAAAATGCCAAGCCAAATTTATTCTGGAGCTGTTTGTTTTCACCATTCCATTCCATTCCATTCGACTCGACTCCTCGGTGATTTTGTATTTTTTGGCGGCAAATAGAACACGGGTTGAGTTATGTATTTGTGCTGCACTCTGATTGCGATTGTGAGTGATTCCCAAGGTTGGTTTCACCGCTCATCGCCGCATCGAAACACTTAACACTGGGCCCGTTCATTATAATTAATTACACTCTTGCACACTCCACACTCCACTTGCGAGGTTTAATTGAAATTTGTGCCAACCATTTGATAAACAACTCGAGTCAAAACACGATTGACAAGTTTAAATGGTCCAGGTGCGATGACCATTAACCATTAACTAGCATCAAAAGGTCCTTTTAAATATGTAATATATCATTTTTAATATACCTTTGATGATGTATATTGGTAGAAATTCAATCGTCAAGATAAAAACCCTTTAAAATGTCTTAAAATATTGAAATTTTGAAAGTGGAAAAAACAAGTGTGTTTAATTATGTAGCTCTCTACTTTTGTGGTTTATTACCTTCAAAGTTCAAAGAATGAAACTCCTAAAACTAGTTTTAAAGATATTTATTACTTTACCCTATTCAAATCTATGTGAAATACCCACTAAATTGCAAATATTATGCCATGCAAGACCATAAAATTCAAGTACCTAACCTAGAAGCTAGGTTAAAAACAATTCCCACCACTGATTTGCAAGCCCCCGAAAATAATGACTTAACGATTGATAACTTTAAAATGGTTCTCTCCACTGATTGCCCACCAGCCCAACAACAATTGTTTCAAGGGTACGTCCGAATCCAAATCGGAATCCGAATCGCCGATCGCGGTGGACGGTGGACGGTGAAATGTCTTCTGATAAGATTGACAACAAAAATATATTGCATGGCCCACGTTCCGTGGAAGAGGCCATCGTGTGCATGGGGCAGTCGGGATCTGCGCTATATATATGTATGTACAAAGGTACTATGAAAATCAAATCAGCATTTTATATATAATTTTTTTTTTTGAGCTATCTGCATTGCGTTTTGGGTGTGCGATTCTCGTGTGATTTTGCCATAGGTCGTACATATATATATATATGTATATATAGGTATGGCAATTGTACCTTTGTTTTTCGCATTCAGTTTTTGTGTTTAATTATATAAGCGCGCTATCGCTGTGCAACACGACTATGAATGACTTTTGTACATTAACTAATTGCAAACCATTTGTTTGTTTCTAATTTTTTCTCTTTTTTTTTTCCTCTGTCGCTTTTTGTGTGCACTGTTACAGGAATCCTTGAAAATCAGCCCCGATCACGATATGCACGACTGGCTGTTCGATCGCGACGTCAAAGATCCCACCGTCATACTCAACGACAAGCTCATCTCGGATGCCCTGCTCAATGGCACACAGCCGATCAAAACGGAGCACTCCTACAGCCTCAGCAGCGACGTTGACTCCCTGCCCGATTCACCAAAAAGCCTGCAGGCCAAAATGGAGGGTATGTACATTAATAAATGAAATAGCTTTTGGTATATTCATTATCTAGGTCGGCTTTATATCAGGCATTACACCCAAAACCTAAAGCCATTTCATAAAACATCAACCTATCTACGTTGGTATTTTAAAGAAGTCGAAATTATATTTATCAAATTAAATTTATCGATCATATACAAACTATCGTTTGAACTTCTACTACTTATGGTTCCTTTAAAATTTGCGAAATGATCTTGGATCCTTATATTTAATTTGTTTTATTTCTATTGTTTCTATCTATACTTCTTAAATGTAGTAGCCTTTTTTAATGTTAACTGGTGTCTGCGATTTGATCAATTTGTAAATTTTATAATCGATAATGTCATTATATTTTGTTATCGATATTATACATTTGATGATAAGTACTGTTACAATTTCTGGATTTGAGGTTTCTTAAATTAGTATTTAATAACGATACAATTGAGTGAATCTCTTTGAACATCTTTTTGTAAGTAAAGTGTAAGTAAAGAAAGGTGGTCCCCAAATATTCCAACGATTGAATTCCAAATTGAGTGAAACAGAGCGATTACCGATTGTTCGGGCAATTGCATCCAGTCGTAGAGCCAGTCATTATTTTTTGGGGCTGTATGTAAGTCCCGAACAGCAATCCAAACACAGTTGGCAGTTGGTTGTTGGTTAATTTAGGCCATGTACATAGTGAAAACAGCGCTGACAAGAATAACAGTTGAAAAACAGTTTCAGCTTCGGTCTGTTCTGTTCGGTTCTGTTCTGTTTCTAGTGTCGCGGTAGCATTTAGCAATTTAACGCAGTACTCGTGCATGAAGTTTTGTACTTTGACGCGATATCAGTTGTTCGTATGTATGCAGGTAAAACTGTGTATAATTGCCCTAGCCAAGTTCTCTGGGCTTCTCTTTTTTGTTCGTTCTGTTCTGTTATTATTTGTAATTTTATGGAAACTGTACGACAACTGTGTAAATAAAATTAAAACGAAAATTTTCGTATAGTGGGTGGAGGTAGAAAAAGGTGGGAAGAGAGATGGGGGCCACAGTTTTGCCAGAAAAATATAAAAAACTGAATCAACAGAATATCAAAGGCAAACACAAGTGCAACTCGGCGAATTGACGCGTGCGCTGCCAAAGGAAAGTGATCCGGTATTTGCTTAGTTACAAACTAGAACTCCAATTCTTGCATAATAATGTGGGTTAGACGCAATAATATTTGGCCAGAATATTTGCGCACATACTGCTCTATTTGATTTCGACCATTGTCTAGCCAAAAAGCAAAACATGCGATAGCAAATACGGCTGTGAGCTAATTATTTTTGGGAAAAAAATAACAATTAACTTAAACCAACTGAAACCGATTTCAACTGAAATTAACCAAAACAAAGTAATTAAAATCTATGATTAAAGAAGTGATCTGTTGAATTAAGCTTAAACTTCTCTTTCTTAGTTTGAACTAAAATAAGAAAAGAATCTCACTGCGAATAAAATGTTCTCGCATTATCTGTAAATTTAATGAACAGCAAAATCTGTTTATATATTTGAAAAACAAAATAATACTTGTGTAGTGTAGTATTTTATTGGTTAAATAACAATCTTAAAAAGTAAATTAAAAAAGTAAAAATAATATTTTTTATGGATCAAAGTTATGGGTTTAAAAAAGAAAAATTTTTAATCTAATTATGCATACGCAGTGTTGACGTTGTACAAATATTTACAAATTTTGCAGTTTCTTGGATGACGTGTCGCTTGATTCTTTTTTGAGCATGTTTTAAATAAAAATAAATAATTATTTGTATAGTTTTTTAGCAGCTTATAAAAATTTGAATTTAATTTAGGTTAAATTTTTTTTTAACCATAGTTAAACTTTTATTTTAATAATATAAATACAAAAGCAAATAAAATGTATATGTATGTAATTATGTTCAAAGTTTTTTAAAGTTGCTTAATTTATTAAATGTATCAGAATTCAAAACTAAAAAAAATATTATTTTCTAGAAAAACTTAGTTTTAAAAGTACATTATTTGCTTATTATACAGAATAAATATCTTATTTATTTTCTGCTTTCTATTTCCAGACATGGACGACGAGTGCTTTCCCGCCATTTCACTGAAGACGGCCACCAGCGGGCGCGTGACCATCGACCCCAAGTGCCTGACCCTCCACGTCCCGCCCACGCATGCCACGCATGCCACGCCCATCAGCCGCCTGAGCAGCAATCCCGCCCTGAACTCCTCCGTCGCGGATGTGACGCGATCCTCCGGCCTGCAGAGCCTGCATGCACAGCATCCCCACCACGGATCCGGAGCAAACCACGTGGTGGTGGCCAATCTGGAGCACTTTCAACTACCTCAGCACCTGTACAACGACAACGACTGCAGCTCCTCGGTGTCGTCGATGCGGGACGGCAGCATGTCGCCGGACATATGCTCCGACATCGAGATCGACGAGTCAGCCATCAAGGATGAGCCCATGTCGCCGGACTCCAGCTGCCCTGCCAGTCCCACATCCCAAGCGAGCAGCTCGCAGCACCAGCTCAGCCTTAATCTGGCACACCTACAATCGGAGATGCTATTCGAGCCGAGGGTGAGTTCAATAATAATGATAAAAAGATTTTGTGAAATTACTAAACATACTTAAAATACTCAACATACTAGAAATACTAAGCATACTAATAGTTCAAAACATTCTAAAAATACTAATAGTAATAATTCTAATTCTATGAAAACACTAGATCTTGGATTAAAATATGAAATGTAGTTTAGTCTATTCTAAAATAATGTAGGTAGAAGATTTCTTTTTTTGCCTTTTTATTTCCTTTTTTATGATGATAATAATACGAATTTGTGAAAATACTAAACATACTAAAAATACTCATCATACTAGAAATACTAAACATACTAATAGTTCTAAACATACTATAAGAACACTGAACATAATAATAAAAAATAAAATATAAATCGATCTTAGATTTAAATTTAAAATGCATACATTTAAATTAGTGACAATTCTAAACATACTAAAAATACTCCACATACAAAAAATACTAAGTATACTAAAAATATTAATGATCCTAAACATACTATAAAAACACTAAACATAATAAAACAAAATAAAATATGAATAGATTTTAGATGTCGTCTATTCTAAAATAATTTAGGTAGAAAATTTCTGTTTTTTCCTGGACTGTACTGACTGATTTGTGTCGTTTATTTCCGTAGCACGGTGGCCTCCTGCTGACCGCCAGTAGCAACAGCAACAACAGCTTAATCAAGTCCCAGCAGCGCCAGCAGCAGCTCCTCGGCCAGGGCGATCTGCTGATGGCCAAGATGGAGATCAAGAGCGAGAAACAGAACACCAGCAACAGTAGCAGCAGCAGCAGCAGCATCAGCAGCAGCATCAGTAGCAGCACCAGCTCCGGCAAATCGCATGCCCACGGCTATGGAATCCCGCTGACGCCACCCTCATCCCTGCCCAGCGACGATTCCGAAGGTAACTTGACACCGGAACACTTGTTTTCGCCCCTGTCGCCCAACGCTTCCGTTTCTATCTCCGTGGCCAATGCAGCCGGCGGCGAGTCATCGTCATCCGTACGTGTCAGCCGCACCGCTGCCGGCATCACGCGCTCGTCCACCGGATCCGGATCGGGATCGGGATCGGGCTCCAATTCCAGCACAACGGCCACCACGACACGGCAGCCGATCCACACGCCGCTGATTAGCTCACAGCCGGTAAGTTCGAGCAGACCACACTCAATTTGATTGCACACACTATCAGTTGCTTCTATACTAATACTTACTGGAATAATCTTATGTGACTTGAGAATGTATTTAACAACTACATCAAATATCCTCTGAGAAAAACTCATTTCAAAAACTTAACTACAACCAATCAAATCTAATTTATCTTTTATTTATATAGAGATATTCGAGTTTTTAAAGTCCAACCTCTAACTTCTATTCTTTTTTTTTTATTATATTATTATAATTATTACATATAATTTTATTATATTTTATGTAATGTTGTATAAAGTAAAAGATCTTTTGCAGACAAAAATTGATAAGAACGATTTTGATTAAATACATTCCGTTTAAATATTTCTTATCAGTATTAAATGCATACTAAATTTTAAACCAAAATTTTATTTAAAAGAACTCATTAACTGTTATTTTATGATATAATTTTTCATAAATAAAAAATATAAATACAGTCGTCGTCTACCAGAAGTGAGTCAATTATTTAAAATTTCATCTGAGAATTCTGAAAATTATTTATGTACAAAACTTAATAAAAATTAGCAATCACCAAAAGACGATCAAAAATCAAATTACTCATAGGATTGTATATGAATTTTATATATTTTCAAATTTTAGGAAATCAGTATTAGTCACATTGGCTATATCGCAAGATATTAGTCACTTATTTTTGCAAACCTCTGATCTAATTTAAAATGTATTTGCATTTTGCAGAAGGGCTCTACTGGCACGCTGTCGCTGACGGAGGAGGAGAAACGCACTTTGCTGGCCGAAGGCTATCCTATCCCTCAGAAACTTCCCCTAACCAAAGCAGAGGAGAAATCGCTCAAGAAGATTCGACGTAAAATCAAGAATAAAGTAGGTTTAAAACAGACCGATGATAAACGATGCAGCGGCGGCATGCAGCTGCACCGTTTACAACCAGCATTAAGAAGCGTAATCTAATTAATCATATGGTTCATTTTACAGATCTCTGCTCAGGAAAGTCGCCGCAAGAAGAAGGAGTACATGGACCAGCTGGAGAGGCGCGTAGAGATTCTGGTCACCGAGAACCACGACTACAAGAAGCGCCTCGAGGGGCTGGAGGAGACCAATGCCAATCTACTTAGTCAGCTGCACAAACTGCAGGCCCTAGTTAGCAAGCACAATGTGAAAAAGTCCTAAGTCCCGGCCCAAAGCCCCCGAAATCGTGGGCTCCTGGATACCGGAACCGTTTCTTGTTTGCCCGCCTTCCCGAGTTATTTGTAGTTCTATCTATGTAGTATAGTATGTCTTCAGTCCTTTGTTTCGATTTACAATCAGTCTGGGAGTTTTTCAAGAATTTATGCGATGATGAGGAAATTTGATGAATTTTTTTTTTGTTTTTGATCGGCTTTTGGCTAGCACAAAGCGGTAAACATTCCCCTCCTGCTCCTGCACCTGCTCCTGATCCGGCTCCTGCTCCACCGCACTATATATTCCACAAGGCATAGATGCCTAGATGCCCATAACCAATACCGTATAATTAATGTGTATGTTATCCTAGCTACTTGTAGGACCTATATTATATAGCTATGTATATTAGTCATGCATTCCTGTTATATAAACTTGATCTAGAGCTTAGGCAAAACGACCAGCTGCAACTACAACCACAATTATAATTACAATTACAATTACGATTACACTTACAACTACAATCGAGAAGCTCAAAAGCAGAAGCCAATCTAGAAAGCGTCTAAAAAGAAGCTAAATAATAATATTGTAATGAAACGAAATCAACAGACCAAAAACAAAAACATACAACAAAAAAAAAAACAGCAAAGTAATGAAAAGGTTAACCACGACAAAAAAAAACAAAAAAAATAGCAGATCGCAAGTGGGCTCTAATAACACATCAAATCCAGACTGGAGTTGATCGAAGAGCGGCGACATGTACATTATGTTTTAATAATGATTGAATGAATGAACGAAAGACTCCCGGAGCCCAAAATCTCTGTGCTGTCTTTGGCATGACTCTTGTTCCTTTAAACGATATTTCTCAAAAAACAAACGAGCTGAAACGAAAGAAAAATACCTAAACAATTCCATAATGTGTAGCTATGTAGAAGGATTATATAACGAACTATGTCTATATGCAGCATTTAAGTTTCTCTTCGTCATCTGTTTGCCAGCAGCCGTCAAAATGGAGTTTCAGTAGATGGAAATTATACGAATTTACAAGGGTATCCGAATCCATATCCCCCAATTCGGTTCCGTTCTCCACCTGTCGCGTTGCCTGGTCGATTTAAACAATTTCCGAGCCAATTATGAAAATGAATTATTGTTTGTTAAGTTTTATATTATAAGACGGCGCTGCACCGACCGAAGGGATATAGAGAGCAAAACCCAATTCAATCAAATTTCGCAGCAATGATTTTGTTTTTTATGTTTACACTTTGTGTTTTACGTTCTAGTGCAATTTTTTGGCATCCATATATTTATACAGATATTTTTGTATTTTTTTCCGCAGCGTTCTGAATGAGTCAATCTAGTTTAAATTAGTTGAATTTATATAAACAAAATTACTTAATGAAAATTTAATTAGTAACTCGATGATTTCTTATCAAATCGATAATATCTATATGAAATAATTTAGCTATTTTTATGTATGTCTGTGCATGTGTGTATAAATCAAGCGGACGAAGTTGTGCAATTGTTAGTAAAATTTTAAAAGAAAGATATTTAGAGAAAATACAAAAACGAAAAATTGAAGTTAAAATATGAAAAGCTCGTGCAATGACAAAACTATTTTATTATAAAATGCGTTAAACAAATTTAAAAAAAAAATGAGAAATACATTATGATATATTTATATATACAAGTATAAATAATGTACGACTATATACTATTTTTTGGCTATAGCATTTTAAACGCATATATTGTATGTTTAACGTTGAAAAGGAAAAAAACAAAACCAGAAAATACATCCAAAAAAATTGTAAAACTTTTATGATTGGTTGCTGTAATTTGGCAAAAGTAAAAGTGCAATTCCAAATAAAATTCATACAACCATAACAACAGCAGCAATGTGCGTGTTTTATTTAAGTCCATTTACAAAAGTTATTAATCTTTTCTTAGAAATGCTGAAATAAAATAAAATTAAATATTTAAATCATTCTTTATGATGCAATTTTTTTTTGCATATTTTTAAAGATAAAATTGCATCCAATATTGAATAAATATTATAGAAATCTAGTGAAAAGAAATGAATATTTAGCTGATCGAAATTCTTGTGGTCATTTAAATTGATTAAAATGTCAAGTAAAAAATATAATTAAACTGGATTTCTTACTTATTTATAAAATGTCAACCAAAACTTTTAAAATTCGGGAATTTTCTTGCAATGATATTCGTTGCATTAGAATTACCTTCGGGTACCTGCCAGAAATTAAGTGATTCCTTTAAAATTAAATTCTTTGATCATGAACCACCAAAGTCACCCGACGATTTCGCCCGGTTTTGCTTTAGTTTTCGAGAACCGCGGTTTTAAGTATGTACTTACTTTCAAAATAGGCAGTTTTGGAAGTCTAGTGCAGCCCACTGCAGCCCAAAAGTATGCTGCATTCCTTATAGGTATGTCGTCATCATAAATCATTTCAATTATTTAAAAAAAATAATTGTTTCTTAAACTTTAAATGATGCAGATGCAAAGACGAAACAACAAAAAATATATATACATTTTTTTGCTGTCGATTCTTGGCAACTCAGGCATCACTAATATTGGCAACTCAGGCACCAAAAGATGGAATTTATTAAATTTAATAAGTCTTAAAGCACTTAATTGGCAACTCAGGCACCAAAAGATGAAATTTTTTTTAAATTTACATTTTCTTATTATTTGTTGTATCTTATACTTAAATGTGTGCTAAAATGAATTGAATCCGTTTCCTAGTCTTTTTCTAGAAATAAAACTTTCCAACTTTGGTTTTGATTAATTATATCCCTTAAAAAAAATTAAAAATGTATTTTTAGTTTGTTGAAAAGATCAAACTTTTAAGAAAATAATTAGCATTTTTCAGCTTCCTTGCTGCACAGGGCAAGAAATGACATATTTTTGGCCAAAAGACAAAAACCGCATAATTTTTTTGATTTTTTTTGCGAAGACATCTACAATATTTTTTTTTAAATTTAATTACATATTATTATTAAAAATAAGCCGGTGACCGTTATCTTTGGAGGCGCCTTGAAAAAAAGTTGGTTTGCGGTGAACATCATAACTCGTGACCGGAGAAAAACAAAATTTATTTGCATTTAGAGGCTGATGAATTTTTCGAGGTTTTCACAAAGAAAAACGAAATCTTCGTGATTACCTGCTGATTTTGTGCTTTTTCAGCTTTCATCTGAATCAAATTCCAGGGTTTTGACCAACAAAATAAGCTTTCTTGCACAATGTGACACGAAAGAATACCGTAAATATTATTTTAAACGTAAATCCGTAATGCATTTTTTGAGTATTTTTTCAAAAATATATATTCTTTTAAATCCATTACCCTTTAAAGGTAAACTCTTAAAAAGCGCGCCCATTCGATTGCTATATTTCGCGCCCAATCGATTGCTATATTTCGATAAGCGATTAGCGTAATGCTTTCATTTTCATAACAGCTGTGCGGTGCGATAGCTATTCGCCCAGTTTCTGGGAGTCCCATCACCATAGAGTAATAATGTATAGAGTCGCCATTTGCTCTGCCGCTCTCTCGAGTGACTTTTCCAGTGATGCCACCTAGACTAAAAAAGGGGAAAATTTCAGTCTCTCACGGTTCGATTCGAACCTTTAATTCGGTCCCATGGTGAATTTTTGCAGCTGGCCTGTTCGCTCTTATTGTTCTGTTTTCAGCTTATGGGAAATGCGGCAGAGCGAGTGAAATGACCAAATGATTTTTTGTTTTGTTGACAAAAACGTTGTTCTTGTTTTCCCATAGAAAGCGGCTGGGACCGAATTCAACATCCACATGGGACTGAATTCAATGTCCACATAGGCATTGAGTAAGAAAGCAAAGTCTTTTACTTTTTGACTCAATGTGCACATGGGACTGAATTCAATGTCCACATAGGACCCACTCATGTCTGAGTTAAATTCAAATTGTACTGAATTTAAATAATTTGTAATATAAGGGTAAGTTAATTTTTAATATTTTGTTAGCAAAACGTATTGTGTTTTGATAATAAGAATTATGTTAATTATAACTATTAATAGACTAGATGAATACATAATATAATTATTCTTTTGCATTTGCACTTTCAATGTTTCTAATAAAATTAATTAATTACAATTTTTTTATACCCTTGCAGAGGGTATTATAATTTCAGTCAGAAGTTTGCAACGCAGTGAAGGAGACGTTTCCGACCCTATAAAGTATATATATTCTTGATCAGCATCACTAGTGGAGTCGATCTAGTCATGTCCGTCTGTCCGTCCGTCTGTCCGTCCGTTTATATGCAAACTAGTCTCTCAGTTTTAAAGCTATCTGCATGAAACTTTCCCAAAAGTTGTCTTTCTATTGCAGGTAGTATATAAGTCGGAACGAGCCGGATCGGACGACTATAGCATATAGCTCCCATAGGAACAATCGGAAAAATAATGGAAAAAAAATTATAACTTTGCTGTTTTTTAATTTTTTGTTTAGTTCTTCGACATATAGCAATGGTTAAATATTTCAGAATTATGGTTTAAATTTCATCAAAATCAGACGATAGTCGTATAGCTCCCATACAAATAATAAAAATATATAAAAGAACAATCAAATAATTATGCTGCAAATCGTCATAGCTTCAATGTTTTTAAACATATACGCAAGTAAATCATAATTTTAATGTTTTCAAAAATATTTAATTCATGCAATAGCTGCAAGGGTATATGAACTTCGGCTTGCCGAAGTTTGCTTTCTTTCTTGTTTTTACTTAATATTTTTAGTGCAAATTGTATTATACAAAATATTATGTATTATACAAAATAAATATTTTTTAAATACTTTTAAGCAATTTAGTTTTGCCTGTCTTAAAAATCGAAATTCTGGTTTCATTTTCAAAATCGAACTCAAAAAAGCAAATGAAACCAATAACATAATTACTCTATGCCAATAAAATATCTCAAATCAGCATTACAGCTCAAAGCCATACGAAACACGACCTTTTAAGAGCCTGTTGTATGAATAACAGAGAATATTTTATCGATACTGAGTAGGATCGGAAATATTTTTGAGTTCACACAGTTAAAAATAGGTGTGAGGGATGATTGTATTGGTGGACGTCGAGCATTGAGAAGATGCTTCAGGTTCGACATGACGTCACGTCAAACAGCAAAAGCAATTGGACTTTGCTGGGAATCTGCTTGGATGTTCGAAGTGTGGTGAAATGATAAAAAGTAAATAAACTGGTATTTTGCAGCGAAATCAATAAAAGAATGGAAACATCGAATTACCATCGGCTTAGAGACAATACCTCTGGACGTTTTGTTTAAAAACCTGAAATTTTTGTGTTTTAGGTCATAAAAAAGCGCTTTTTTGGACTTTTATTGACATATCAACGGTGTTTAGTCGTATGTAGTTCTTGTAAAGGCAAAAAAAGCAAAAGAGAAGTCATTGTTTTTACAAAATAGCGCAAAAACTCTTCCAATTTTTTGAATTTAGCGCTTACTAGCTGAACTCTTCTTTCGCATGCAGGTCTTACGGCAGTTGCATCCTGTTGCTGGTCGCTTGCACATGTTCGAACAGCTGATATCTTCACCACACTGTTCAAACACCGGCGTCACGCCAGCGTCGAGAAATTTGCGGGCAGAGCAAATGGTGACTCTATATAGTTTCCTACTCTATGCGTGAACAAAGTAACAGAACGCAATTAGCTTCGTACATTTTCTAAAGTGAATTAATACAAAAACATAAGTGTTAAAAATGGGAAAGAAGAATAGTGAGTTACCCGACAAGCCGCATTAAGTTTATGATATATTTAAATGTCTAATTAATAAACCAGAATTCAAGCAAGAAGAGGAGAAGCCCAAACCAGCAGCTCCTGCACAACAACAACAACAACAGCAACAAGGTTAGTGCATTTTACTGCAAATTGTCGGCGTAGGCAAAAATCTGTATTCATTTTAAATTACTAAACAGTAATAAACATATACATATACATGTGTATGTATGTACATATTTGCGTTGAGAGGCGATAAACTAATCTTTTCTTAAGGACGGGGGTGTCGAACAGTCCAAAAGTTTTCCATTTTAGGGGAATCACCACATTCAATGCACCTATGATGAAATTATGTGGGCTTACCTGTATGGGTGAAAAACACAATTCGATAGAGTTAACACTATATATAATTTTATATGTATGTATAATTCATCCGTCAAAGTAAAAAAAGCAAAACAAAGCAAAAAACTATTTCGTAAACTTATGGCAAATATATTTAATTTTGATCAAAACAAAAAAAATAAAAAATATTTATTATTTTTGATAAAAAAAATAAACTCAAAAATAATGATTATTAAATATTATTATTTTTATAACTTAAAGAAAAACTTATTTGTAAGTCAGGGCGACTGCGTTAGATATTTCTCCAAAATTGTTTCATATCCGTGTTTAGGAATCAAAAAACCACTCTTGAGGACTATTGGTTTTATTTTCTGCACTGAAAAAAAAGTTCAATTATAGCACATCAATACTTACGTTTTTATTCAGTAAATATCACACATAAGTTTTAGGTATATTTGGATCGTAAAACAATATTTATAAAAATGGTTTAATAATGCCGCATTTCGCTTTTCATTTTATTGAAATCGGAGAACAATATCATATAGCTGCTATAGAAACGTTTGAATAATTATGCTAAAAATCATCGTTGCTTCAATGTTTTTAAACATGTTTTTTGACACACACGAAATTGAGATGTTTTAAAGGGGGTATTCTGGTCGAGAAATTGAAAAATATTTTTTTATTTTTGCATATTTAGAAAGTTTAGACTTTTAAAAATGTGATCCTGAAAAGATTTATCAAAACTCGAATTGTAGATACCAAAATCAAATGTATATGTCATTAGTTTTGTCTGTTTTAAATTCATTTTTCGACAGCAGCAGAAAAAGCAATCTTAAAAAAGTTTTAAATAATCAAATTATCAAATTAACTGCTAAAAATGCAAAAAAGTAAGAAAGTACCTAAGACAACATTGATTGATTGATTGATTGACTTGTAAATACGATTTGCATTTCCGCAGCAGCTGCAAGACAACAGGCGGGAGGCCAGCCATTCACCAGCTCCGGAGCATCTACCTCTGGTGGCCAACAGGGCGGCGGAGGATGGCAGAAGCAGGGCGGCCAACAGCAGCGATCCCAAAGCGGACAAGGATGGGGCGGACAGCAAAAACAATCGCAGGGACAGCAGGATCAGCAGCGTGCGCCCCAAGGACAGCAGGGTGGTTTCCAGCAACGTTCTCAGGGACAAGGACAACAAGGTGGTTATCAGCAACGTCCTCAGGGACAAGGACAACAAGGTGGTTACCAGCAACGATCTCAAGAACAACAGGCACAGGGTCAACAAGGCGGTTACCAGCAACGATCCCAGGGACAAGGACAACAAGGTGGTTACCAGCAACGTCCTCAGGGCCAAGGACAACAAGGTGGTTACCAGCAACGTCCTCAAGGATCCCAAGAACAGCAGGCACAGGGTCAACAAGGTGGTTACCAGCAACGATCCCAGGGACAAGGACAACAAGGTGGTTACCAGCAACGATACCAGGGCCAACAGGCTCAAGGTCAACAAGGCGGCTATCAGCAGCGTCCGCAAGGACAACAGCAAGGGGGCTACCAGCCGCGCCAGCAGGGTCAGGGGGGTCAGGGGGGTCAGGGGGGTCAAGGGGGCTACCAATCCCGTGGACCGCCACAGCAGCAGCAGCAAGCTGTTGGACCATTGCCGCCTCAGCCAGCGGGCAGTATCAAGCGGGGAACCTTAGGCAAACCAGGCCAGGTGGCCGTTAACTATTTGGACCTTGACTTGACCAAAATGCCGACGAAGGCCTATCACTACGATGTGAAGATAATGCCCGAGCGGCCCAAGAAGTTCTACAGGCAGGCATTCGAACAGTTTCGCGTTGATCAATTGGGCGGTGCGATTGCCGCCTTTGATGGCCGAGCTTCCTGCTACTCAGTGGATAAGCTGCCACAGAAGACTCAAAATCCAGAAGTTACTGTAAGTTTGCAATGAGAAATATCAGTTATTAATAGTTAATGATCAGCAAATGGCTTAAACTCACTTCCAGGTGACCGATCGTAATGGCCGCACGCTGCGTTACACGGTGGAAATCAAGGAGACTGGTGATTCGGAAATCGATCTGAACTCGCTGAGGAGCTACATGACGGAGAGGATCTTTGACAAGCCGATGCGGGCGATGCAGTGCATGGAGGTCGTGCTGGCGGCTCCCTGCCACAACAAGGCCATTCGGGCCGGTCGCTCCTTCTTCAAGATGTCCGAACCGGGCCAGCGTCGCGAGCTGGACGATGGCTACGAGGCCCTGGTCGGTCTGTATCAGGCTTTCATGCTGGGCGACCGGCCATTCCTGAATGTCGACATATCGCACAAGTCTTTCCCGATTGCCATGCCGGTCATCGAGTATCTGGAGCGCTATGGCTTGAAGGCGAAAATCAATAATAGCACCAATCTCGATCAATCTCGCCGCTTTATCGAGCCGTTCCTTAGGGGCATCAATGTGGTGTACAAACCACCGCAGACTTTTGCCACCGCACCGAGGGTCTACAAGGTGAATGGACTTTCTCGGAGCCCGGCCAGCAGGGAGACTTTCGAGCACGATGGCAAACAGATCACCATTGTGAACTATTTCAAGAGTCGCAATTACAACCTGAAGTTCCCCGAACTCCATTGCCTACACGTTGGACCTCCGATGAAGAACATCCTAGTGCCCATTGAGCTATGCACCATCGAGGAAGGTCAGCCACTGAATGTGAGTTTCTCATATTGATGTTTGTTTACATGTGGAAACACAATATGTAGTTATGATATAGTTTCATGATTTCTCTTAACACACACCACCTATTTAAACTAGAAGTTTTTTTTTTTTTGTTGCAAATTATCTGTAATTTCTTTTTTAGTTATTAGTTATGTAACTAAATTCGGATCAAAAAATCTATTTCACAGCGCAAGGATGGTGCCACACAGGTGGCCAATATGATCAGGTTTGCAGCCACATCGACGAACGAGCGAAAGAGCAAGATAATGCATTTGCTGGATTTCTTTAAACACAACTTGGATCCGACAATCAGTCGCTTTGGCATCCGGATCGCTAACGATTTCATTGTGGTGCACACCCGCACCCTCAACCCACCGCAGGTGGAGTATTACGGCAACAAGTGGTGCGCGGTGAGGAACGGTTCGTGGCGCATGGACAACATGAGGTTCCTGGAGCCCAAGCCGAAGGCCCACAAGTGGGCGATTTTGTACTTTGATCCGCCGCATGGTCGTAAGATGCATTTCAACCAGGTGGGCGACTTCGAGCGCCAAATGTCCAACCAAAGCAGAACGGTGAGCGTGAGCCTGGAGGAAAGGGCGGAAATTCGGAGCTTCAAGGACGAACGCAATCTGGATGATTGCTTCTCGGACCTCAAGAAAAAGCAATGCGATCTGGCGTTTGTGATTATACCCCAGTTTGGGGCTTCCTACGACGTCATCAAGCAGAAGGCCGAGCTGCAGCACGGCATTTTGACGCAGTGCATTAAACAGTTCACTGTAGAGCGAAAGCTCAATCCACAGACCATTGGCAACATCTTGCTTAAGGTTAACTCCAAGCTGAATGGCATCAACCATAAGCTCAAGGACGATCCACGACAGCCGATGCTCAAGAACGCCATGTTCCTGGGCGCCGATGTGACCCATCCGTCGCCCGATCAGCGTGAGATACCCAGTGTGGTGGGCGTGGCAGCCTCTCACGATCCCTACGGCGCCGCCTACAACATGCAATATCGCCTGCAGCGATCGGCTCTGGAGGAGATCGAGGACATGGAGTCGATAACGATGGAGCATCTGCGTGTCTATCAGCAGTACAGGAAGACCTATCCGGAGCACATTCTCTACTACCGCGACGGGGTGAGCGACGGACAGTTCCCAAAGATCAAGAACGAGGAGCTGAGGGGCATTAATGCAGCCTGTGCCAAGGTGGGCTTTGCTATAAATGGTTTTTAAGTTAAATAATATACTGATTGATTGATTGATTGATTGATTTACTTCCAGGTGGGCATCAAGCCCAAGATTTGCTGCGTGATTGTGGTGAAGCGTCACCACACTCGCTTCTTCCCGAGCGGCGAGCCATCGCAGTACAACAAGTTCAACAACGTGGATCCCGGAACCGTGGTCGATCGCACCATCGTGCATCCCAACGAGATGCAGTTCTTCATGGTCAGCCACCAGTCCATCCAGGGCACGGCCAAGCCGACGCGCTACAATGTGATTGAGAACACTGGCCACCTGGACATCGACTTGCTGCAACAGTTGACCTACAACCTCTGCCACATGTTCCCCCGTTGCAATCGCTCCGTATCGTATCCGGCTCCGGCCTACTTGGCCCACTTGGTGGCAGCGCGCGGACGTGTTTACCTCACTGGGTACGGCTGAGTATACTCACTTCAGTATACTGCCACTGCCACTGCCACTTAATCCCTTTTGTATTTGACAGGACCACCAGGTTCCTGGACTTGAAGAAGGAATACGAAAAGCGCCAGATTGTGCCCGCATTCATGAAGACAAACCCCATGTACTTTGTATAAGCAGAGAGAGAAAAACTATTCTTAATTTCATCGATTTTATTTTTATCACATTTCTTAAACCATATACATATATATATATATATCAGATATTAAGGACGCTCCATGTTGATTGCACTAAGAGTTCGATTTTGAAGCGTCACCTTGATTTCCCCCTCAATTATTGTTCTACTTGAATTTATTTTGCAAATCTTTTTGGGGCATTTGATGGCGTCAATGAGATGCAAGAACTCCCAATGGAATCGACAGGTTGCAGTCCCTATAGTTTGGGCGTATTAATCAACGTTAAATAATCATAAAACATTAAACTCAACTTGACTTGGGTTGAAACAGAAAAGAATACTTAGTGTACATTTAATTGGCGACCTTACATCGCATCGAAATGGAATCTGTGTGACTCCTGGAGGCGCTCCTGCTTGTCCTCGCGCTTCTCCTTGATGTACAGCACCAGGATAATGAAGACGATGACCAAACAGGTGCCGCCCAGCGCCACGACGCTCATCAGGATCAGTTTGCTGGGCGTTACGAAAAGCTGCGCCTTCCAGCGCGACGGTTCGTCCAGGGGCTTTGGCACCACAATGATCTGTGAGTTGGGTATGAGCTGCGTCCAGTTGTGCAACTTGCCGCCCAGTCCCACGGTCAATTGATCCACAAAATTCGGCGTACGGCCCAACCCGAAGCAAGTGTACGGCAGCTGCAGTGCAAAGTAGGAGGCTTGCGGCAGTTGCACACTGCTGCCGCACTGCTGATCCCCATCCTGGGTGGTGGTGCTGTACGTGATCCGGGGTCCAGGCAAATTGGTGCCATATGTGCGTTTCTTCCGGCCCAACGGAGTGCGTCGCTCGGGATTCTGCTTGTTGTCCAAACCGGTTAGCACAATCACTTTCACAAAGTTCGCATCATAGTCGAGGGTGTTGCGGAAGGCTAATGGCTGATATTTGCCCTTCGCATCCTTCCGGATGAGGATCACGTCGAGCACACCGTCCTGGTAAAAGTCATAGAAGGCACCGGCCACCGTATTGTTGCCCATCGGCGAGAGGGCACCCCAGCGCACCTCGAATGTGCGCTTCGGTTGCTTGTGACACGTCGTGCAGGGCACGTTCTCCAGCAGGAACGTCTGCATCACCGGCTTGCCCACGTTCAGTGGCTGCAGCGTGACCAGCAGATCCGGATAGCCGTCCAGATTGAAGTCACCGCTTCGCGCCGCTATGGTCCTCAAGTAAACGTCATCGGACACGGGCGGCACAAAGGCCCACGAGATGCCCTGCGGATCACGAAAGTTGACATGCAGATTGCGAAAATCCTCGCCGTCGTGCACCAGGATCGACGAGTTCCTGCAGTTCGCATGGATGCAGAAGGGCACCACAATATTCTGCACGCCCTTCAACTCGAAGTCCATAAAGACCGCCTGTCCGATGTGATAGTCGTTGCCTCCGATCGGCTGGAACTTGATCTGGTACTGGTAGCTGAAGTTCTCCTGCCTGTCACTCTCGCTAATGCCGTGCCACACTTCGTAGGAGTTGTGCGTCTGCAGGAACAGATCGGCGAGGAAGTCACCGTTCAGATCCAGATAGGCATTTGCATTGGGTATGCTCAACGAGTTGCCATTGGTCCCTGTGGGCTCGGCCTGGTGCTTGGCCTCCGGCGGCAGCCTGTTGCTGTTGAATATCCAGAAGGTGCGCAGATCATTGCTGTCCAGGCCGTACAAATCGATGATCATGTCACGATTGAAATCCAGGGCCATCACTTCCCCTTTGCTGGTGAAGAGCGACTTTGTGGAGCACTTCAGTTCGGTGGTGTTGCCCCAATTGATGTGCACTTCGTAGGTGTCCTCACTCCCGGCCTTCAGGTTGACCAGCACGTCCATTAGAGCGTCGCCATCGAAATCTCCGGGAATGACACTCACAATGGTCTTATCCCCGTACTGGCAGTAGGGTCCCACGATGAGCAGTGGTTCCGTGTAGTGTCCTACACATAGACGTAGTAATAGATAGGCAACCTTCTGACATCCAATGGCTTACCATAGAGAATCTGCAACGTCTTCATTTCATCGCGAATAACAAAGACATCCGTCAGTTCGTCGGAATTAAAGTCGCCAAAGGCAGCCACAATGCCCTCTTTGATGTCGCCAAACACCTTATCCGTGATATCGCTGGCCAGGATTGGATTGCCCAGGGCCAGGAGGAGCCCCAGGAGTACCAGGGTGCATCTCGTCATTCCGGGTCTCACAATTTCTACACTCCCAATTTGCTTTATTTGCCACTTTTGTTATTGTGAAAATCAATAGTGAATCAGATGTGGAATGAGCAATCGGTATGTTCCCACTATCGCGTCAAATAATAATCGATAGGTATCGAATGTGTTTCCACTGCAATCAAAAAAATCTGTTTATTTCAACCAATTTCATTTTTAGCTGGTACTCAGTTAGTTTTTAATAAGCCAATAGCTTTGAAATGTGTGATCTGATTGTCTTACAAATATCTGTTTTTATTAAATATATTTCGAGCAACTAATATGAAAACAAATTATACAGAAAACAAAAGAACTTCATTATTTACGATATTATAAACTAACTTGTTTTAAATACTTCAGAAGTCTCAATTAATTTCTCAACCCATTTTAAGACAAGTCAGCTTTTTAAAATATTTTTAAATAACGCAAAAACACAGAATTAGAAATCCAAAAGGTTCAGAATATCGATATTCCTGATTTGAGTCTGTTCCAAATGCATATCGAAGTTCTCAACCTTTTGGTATGGATTTTTTCTACATATGGGTATATTTTAATCTAAGCCTTTTGGTAAATTTTAACCGTCTAGAGAAGGTCACACGTCATTAAACAAAACTAAATAAATATTCAGTGGAAAATTATGAATCAACAAACAAGTTAAAACACATAAGCACAATTTCAACGAAACAACAACAATCCGCTTTCGTTGATTATTATGCAAAATAAACCTAACGGAATAGCGCAATTTATCGAGGCAAACCAGTGACGTTTTCCAACACCTGCGCTCCGCAGTTGGGACGTTTTCCAACAAAGTTTTTGCCCCCGTAAAATAAACAAATAATAACCAATTATTGCCACAACAATGGTGAGTACTGGACTAAATTGTGGCCCAAAGTACGTGGTCGTTTTGGATGCAAGTGAGAGTGCGAAAGAAAGTAGCGAAAACGCTCTATTTTCGTACCACCAGCCTCTTCTTCTTCTTGGAGCGCCAGCTTGGGCACACTAGTTGTTGTTGTATTTATGCAATTCGCCTGGGCAGCAAAATCTATATAGTAAACAACGAAGAACGCTATAAGTGATGCTTCCGACCAACAAACACCCGTTGATCTCTGTCCCTTTAAAAAGACCAAAAGTCAACATTAATCACATTTCTGAAAAGTGATCCCATTTTAAAATGTTTAGGATTTTAATGTAAAATTAACTAACTGAAATGTGTAAAACCTGAAAGAGCGTACAATTTTAATGTGAACTCTCTAGTTCTTGAAGTTCCCCAGTTTTTGAACTTCAAGCTGTAAGCATCTTCCTGTTCTCAGCCTGATTTCTAGCCCTTAAAGTGACAGATCTTATCCCCCATTTTAAGATTTTTTGGATTTTAAGTTAGTGTGAAGTTAATCCCCCTTTACCGAGATCTTAACTTTTAGTTACATATATACATCTACAATTTGTTTCTGGCCTTTAATTTCAAATGAAGTAATCATCTTTTTCGAGCCACATCGACTAGCGATGCTGATTAGGAATATATATTTTAGGCAAGCTAATGGTGATCAAGAATGCTTTTTCGAGTCGTTAAAGTTTGCTCCAATCCAATACGGCTTTTGTTTCCAATACCAGCCATAGTTAGTTAATGGTCAACAATATTATCGTTGCAGAACAAACTGAAATCCAGCCAACACCGCGAGAAGGTGAAGAAGTTCATATCGCTGACACAAACTGGCGAACAGACGGCTATTTTCTGTTTGCAACAGAACGACTGGAAGTTGGACTTGGCCAGCGATAATTACTTCCAGAACCCGGAGTACTACTACCGGGAGTTGGATCGCAAGCGGATCGAACAGTTGTTCGTGCGCTATCGCGATCCCAGTGATCCCCTGAAGATCGGATCGCAGGGGGTTATCCATTTTCTCGAGGATTTGGACCTGAAGCCGGACTCCAAACTGGTGCTGATCATTGCGTGGAAGTTTCACGCCGAGGTACAGTGCGAATTCTCGCGGGATGAGTTCATCAACGGAATGTGCGACCTGGGCATCGATAGCATCGACAAGCTGAAGGCCAAGCTGCCGATCCTTGAACAGGAGCTAAACGATGCCGGCAAGTTCAAGGACTTCTATCACTTCACCTTCAACTATGCCAAGGATCCTGGTCAGAAGGGCATCGACCTGGACATGGCCATCGCCTACTGGTGCATCGTTCTCAGTGGGCGCTTTAAGTTCTTGGACATCTGGTGCCAGTTCCTCGAGGAGAAGCACAAGCGGGCCATATCGCGGGACACCTGGAACCTGCTGCTGGACTTTGCCACCAACATCGACGATCGTATGAGCAACTACGATTCGGAAGGTGCCTGGCCGGTGCTCATCGATGACTTTGTGGAGTGGTGCCAGGAGAACGATCATCTCAAAGAGGACTCCTCACCGGGATCCGGCTTCCAGCAGCAGTCCAACGCGAGCTCCAGCTCCCAGAAGAACATATCCAGCGCCTACCAGACCTCGCACAGTACAAACATGAACTATGGCTAACGAATTGTTACACTGTATTGTATTCTCATTAATGATAGACTTGCTTTTATTCTGATTATTCTAAATAACGGAGGTTCTAAGCAAGGCCGGTAAATTTACATTTTCTCTATAAAAGCGTCGTAATAAATAAATAAAGTTAGTAAATGTACTTTTCCCAGGAATTCTACTTATTGAGATAGGCTTTTCTAGTTCAACTGTTTGTAATTATTAGAAGTCAAAAAAAAAAAAAAAACAGGTTTATAATTTATCAAACTTCTTTCTAATGTAACCATTTTTAATTAAATTAATTTTCTCGATTGTGAGAAAATTTTCGAAATGAAGACTACAAAAGCACCACCAAGAAAAGTTGGTTTATTAATTTTGAAATTAAAGTATTTCTCTTTCTGGTATAATTAAATAAATTTTGTTATTTGTTGTTTTTTTTCAAACTCCGAAATATTTTTTAAAATATTTTCTCTTTTCAAAAATAATTGAATTAAATTAAAATTTAACTATTTGCTTTATTCTGTTGCTCTGGAATTTTTTGGCAATTAGTTCTTAAATGTAAGAAGGCATGACAAAAATATTTCAGATCTTAAATAACACCGTTTTGAAAAACATCAAGAAATCGTTGACTTACTTTTCGAATATATTATTATATATTTTTTATATTAACTCTGCTTTAGAAAAATATATTTTTTGCCAACGAATTTCAAATTACCCGCCATTCAACAAATCAATCTGGAGATTTCAAGTGTCATCACCGTCGTGACCTTCGATAACTTGCCCAGCATCGGCTGTCATCGCTAGTGGTGTGACCGTTCGGCTGATTGATATTGTTACAACGATTTTTCGCTGTTAAAAATATATAATAATACCTCTTAAAAAGCGTGCTAGGCACGCGAGTGTGTGTGTCAGCCCCAGCGTAAATGCTGAGTATAAAATGTAAAGTTCCAAATCGAGTGTTAGGGGATATAAAAGTGAAAAATAAGCATTTTATTGCACCAAAAACCCCGTAATCGCAATGTCTGTGTATGTGCGACTGTGTGTGTGTGGGCGGCGAAGGAGCCCCAACACACAGACACCCATACAGTCATAGTATTCCCCATACACCCACACAAACCCCCCGTATGTTTCACCCATTGTTGTTGTTGTTGTGGTTGTTGTGGTTGTGGTTGTTGTGTCTCTTGGCCATAATTAATTTCGAGTCGAAAATCCTTTGCCCTTGGTTTTCGATTTTTTTTTCGGTCTACGACTCTATACAATATAATCAAATCTGTGCAAACAGTGGCGGTCGCATTTGCGAATCCAATTATCATGTGAATAACTAGCGCCGAGTGGGCGAAATTTAAGCAAATATGTGTGCGTTGTCTGTAAATAAATGAATAAATGCCACTAAACACACACAAAAAAAAAATAAACCAAACCAAACGATACGAAACGAAAACAAACTGATAACCGCAGAAGTCGGACTACGACAACGTCTACGAGACCTCGGATCACCATTTACGATCGTGCTTATGGAGCTTATATAGCCGAAGCCCCCTCCATCGCGAGTTCCGATCCCCACCTGCTGATAATCCGATAATTTAGTGGCCCCCCTTTTCTTCAACCAGAGAAAAGGGCAAAACAATGGAACACAAACTGGGTTTCTTGGTTTGCACTTTAAGTAGCTAACTTTAAAGAAGTAAGTTGCTTGAAATTTAAGATGCCGATACAAACTTATTGACTGGAATATTGTACTCCAGCCAGGGAAAAAGCAATTGCCTTTAAAATGTATTATACTTTCAATAAAGTGTTTTATTTATGTATTAACACTGCAGACTCTTTAGCGTGTAAAGAAAACTATATTTTTTAAATATCATTCAAATTTTTAAGATTCCTCAATTAGGTAAATTGCAGACTTTTTAAAATGAATTAGTTTATAATAAAATCATTTTCAAAATAAATTTTAAAAATAATAATTTTTGTATGATTTTTAGAGTAAAAATGAAAAAATCAAGGTTTTTTAAAACAAATTTACCAATGCAGAATGTAAACGAAATCTAAAATATTATATACCGCACAGTGGCCACAGAAACTTAACAACCGACTTTGCTCACAAATCGAGTTTTTTGGATCATTAGAAAATGAAAATACTTTTAAGTGAATGTGATCTTGAAAAAAAAACATAAGAATGTCTATTCTTGACATATATATGTTTATTTATTCAAATTTTAAATAGGGATTTTTAAACAGAATTTTAACTCGATTTAATTTAAAAATATATGTATAACAAACCATGAAAAAGAGTTTTTACAATAAAATAAATATTTTAGTAAACAAAAGTAATTTTACTTAATAATACAATATTTCCCAAAACCCTAAAAGTTGAAAATACAAATCATATTTGAAAAATTTATAAACAAAATGAACAAACAAAAATAAAATAGATTTCTGAATCACCGGATTTTGACTTTCGGTTGAAAGAGATTTCCGTGAAACCCTTGTTATTGGACGACATTGTGATTCAACCTCGTTGTGGAAATTCTGGGCTATCACCCAAAACCAAGTGGGCGATCGCTTCCCATATACGAGTATACATATAAT